CTTCCGTTGGAAGTCGTTCGTTGACCACGTTGACCACGGCACATTCCGTTGCATGCATGCGTCCATGGGCGTGGTGCATCCCCACTGTCAGCCTCTCACGTACAGTTATCTTCCGATGACTCTTGGTTGTTGAGCACGTTGACCACACCGTGCCGAGCGCACCAAGGCCGGTGGACGATGGCGAGGCCCCAGACTGGAACGACCCGGAGATGGAAAGATGTGGCAGTGCAGTCGCAAATGAAGAGGAGTGAAAATTTTGACTGGTTAGGGTGCACGGCAGCACAGCTGCGGTGCCGTCCACGGGAGACAGGAGCAAGAACAGAGGTTGAAGAAGGAGCATGGTTGTTGTAGTATACATTGTGATACGGGTCGAAAGCAAAGCAGCGGAAGGCTAGAACAAATTTCGGAAGGCGAAAACAAAGAATGTAAAGGGAATAAATTCAAGAGTGGACAAATTATTTATTCAAACTGTGCTGCTTAACACTAATTTCTACTCCATATCTGAAGAGCAAACGAGACTCCACGTTCGTCAGGGTTGACAAGCTACAGTTAATTTGTAGCTTGTCACAGCTGGCTGTCCACTCTCAACTCGGAAGCAGCAGTTCGTTACAACACTTGAACCTGTTCTTTCTCAGGTTCTTTGCTTTGTAGCTGAAACTGAACAACAACCATTAAATTACAGACTTTTGAGTAAGTTTACACTAGGGAAGAATTGTTGTACTGAACAACACTACAGAAAAGCATGCATGATTTTCCGAGGTCGCATTGTTATCGTCATCTGTGGTGCGCCAAGTACTGTCCTTGCTGCTTGGTCCCGTCGACTGACCCAGCAAGATGAGCTGTGGGGGCAGGGATGAAGGAGGGAGTGTAAAGCGGCATTTCTTAGAGAGCGAAGAGATCCAACATGATTTGTGTTGGTGATCAAAGGTGTGATTTCTATGCATGCACGACATGATGCACGCTTGAGAGCCTAACTAATTACTACTGATGCTACTCAAAAGTGTGTTTTTTTACAAGGACTAAGAGGGGAGGTGGAGGAAGATGGAGTGGTGGAAGCAAGCCAGATCAGGACGTGACGTTAGTGCCAAGGTCTGGCCAGAGTGTAGCAGAGATGGTAGCGAGGCAAAGCCATAGGAGTGGAGAAGGCAGTGTCAGAGGCTAGAAAGAGACAGCGGTGGGGAGCACTACCGGACTCGCGGCCTATGCCGACGGCCCAGGGCCGTCGGCATAAGTCATTTTCCGTCGGCATAGATCTATGCCTACGGCTGCCGTCGGTATAGCCCCGTCGGCATAAATCGCGTCAGCGTAGTCTTGTCAGACCATCGGCATAGGGGTGTATGCCGACGGCTACTGTTCGGCCGTTGGCATAGTTTAGCCGTCGGCAGTGTTTTTCGCCTAACGGCAACGAACGGCGCCGTCAAAACCACCGATGAATCACGGGAAGCCACATAGCATAGGTATGCCGACGGCCTAGTGTGACACCCCAAATTTTTGACCTTGTTTTGTTAATTAAATTTTTGCCAGGAAATTAAAACTTTTATTTCGTGGGCTCCCTTTTGAATTTTGAACCTTTTTCTCCCTTACTATTATGGAGTTTTCCCCAAAAAGGAAACTTTTCAAATATGTTATTGGACTTGTTTAACCTCTCAAGAAAAACTTTTCTTTTATTAGTAGAACTAATTACATAATTAATTTGCTTGATCTTTATTTTCTTGAAAAATGGTTTTCCAAGATTATATGGCCATATTTGAACTACAACCATTTGATAGATTCACTTAAAATTTCAACAAAAATTTGGAGATGTCAGGTGATGTTTTAAAATCACTTTTATGCAAAAATATCTTTTATTCATGAAATATTTTGAGCTCTACATCAATTTTTCTTCTCTGGTCCAGTGGGCAATTTTGCACTGCAACTCATTTAAATATTTCTTTCTAGCTTCCACCAAAATTATGGGATGTTAGTAGCAGCATATGATTCCATTTTATGCAAAAAGCCAGTGTTGTCCTTTGAAAAATTTGAGTGAATCAACCTCTTTTCCATTCTGGTCCAACATGATGGTTTGTACAACAACCATATCCCTGCTTCCTCTTTGGCCCTTGATTCTTTCTCCTACTTGTAGTACTCCATGCTAAACCCCTAAGTTCAGGAGCATGCACTCATTGGATCATTTTTGGTTCATGAAATGATGCCATTCACCTCCTGTCCAGAATTGGAGTTCTACAAAACTAGCAAGTTTGTGCTTTTCACAAACTAACCTCACCACCCTCTCTTCCATCCAAAGAGACACTGATCTGGAGAATTTGGCCACCCCAAGTTTTGCCTAGATGCCCTTGGCATTTTGACAAACACCCTGAGTGCATAGCCAGATTTGGCATGATTTCAAGTCTACATTATGAACTTGGTCTCCTGACCAAACCACCTTGTCCCTTGATCTTCCCTCTACCACTAATCTAGTTCTGTTGCTTGCCAACCTCATACGAGCCCCTTAGCATGCCCCAGCATTTCGTCGAGCACGTTCCGTGCGTGCTCTGGGCCCGAGCAGAGCACGCGTATTGCACGTGCCGCGCCCGAGCTGACGCGTTGCGCCCTTGGTTCTTGCCCGCTCTGTAGCGCCACGCCACGCGCTCCCCTTCCCACCGCAACGCGCCAAGCCGTCCTGGCAGCCTACAGCACCACCGTCAGAGCTCTTGGCGGCACGCCGGCGTCCGCAGCACGTCTCGGCCAGGTCGGTGCCGCCCAAGCCGCCAGCGCTTGCCACCTGCCTCCTGGAGCAGTGCGAGCTCATCCGCAAGCGTGTCCCCTAGCACTCGTCGCCGCCACATCACCCAAGCTATAGAAAGACGGTCGCCGGCGACCTTATCCGCGGCCGCCGCTGAACCGCCTCGACTCGCCTATATAAGGAGCCCCGAGCCCGTCCCCGCACGCTGGCAGTCCCAAGCCATCTCCCTAGGAACCCCATTGGTAGCCAATCAACTCGGGGAGGTCTCCTTCCCCATCTCCGGCAACCGCAGCCGCCACCACTACGCCGGCCATTCCGGTGCCACCAGGGCCTCCCCCTCTCCACTCTTTCCACCAGAAGCTCTCTCTTCCTCCCGTGAACCCTTCCCCCTGCTCGATTTTGATCGGGAACCACCAGAAGTTTTCATTTTTTGAATTTATGTCTACTTTTTTTGGTCTAAAATGTACTTTTTTGGAGCACACGTGAACATTTTTATTATACACTTTGGCATTTTTCAAGTATATGATGTACAATTTTTTTTAAATGCATGGTTTGGACACTTTTCAAATACACAGTAACATTTTGTAGTCACACGTTGGAAATATTTTTAATGGCTTGAAGCATTTTTTAATGAACATGAAAAGTTTTCTAGATTGAATAAACATTGTTAATGGCTTGAAGCAAGAATAATCCACCAGAAGACTGTGTGCGTACATGCACCGCGTGGCCGAAAGATTAATCACGCCTAACGAATGAAACATCACCAAAGGCCAATACCGGAGTACTGAAGTACTCTACAATATGTTTGATCGTTGTTTCACTGTACCCATTTCAAAAGAAAACAAAACGGAGCTTCTTACACGCTACAATCCAGCAGAAGTTTCAGCAAAGTGATTCCCCAAGGGACTTTATTACTCAAAGAACACAATACACCCGCACACCGGCTCATGCATACATGGACAAATTATCACTGAAAACAGGAGATCTTTAACCATCTTATTTTTATTTTATTTGGAACAACACTCAAATTAAGCCACATATATATGGCTCAAATGAACGAAACCTCTTGACCAGCTAGGCAATATATACGCCAATTGCATTTAGGTATTTGTCATCAGTACGCCCGAAGAAGCCAACAATTGCTTTGTCATCAGGTGCAACGGCGCTGAAAGGAGTACCAAGTTCTTTATTATAGTCAAGATTCCTGTAAGGTCCGTAGGTTTTCTTGTTTGTGACAAACTTGAGTGTCTGCACAACATCGACTTTAGTCCCCACGTAAGTATCATGTTTAATAACTGTTCCAGACACTGCTGTCACAATTTCCCCCGGGCCCAACATGATCTGCACATCAGTAAATGGAATAATCACTGAGGGCATGCACAATGATTGATAAGACAGTCTTATCTTAAATTTTGAATCTAATTTAGAGATGACAAAAAAATATGTCTACAATGGGTCATTTCTTAGCCTTATCTTTAATAACTAGTTATTCTTAAAAATATGCTGAGACATATTGTGCTAACAGATCATCTCTTGTCTTCTCTTAAATAAGAGAAGGCAAGTCTTTTCTTGTGATTTCTCTTTCTTCCACCTCACCATTTACCCTACGTGGCATTGCTAAGATAGAACCATTGTACATGCCCTTAGTAATCTTATGATTTTTGCAAGTTCCTAATTGAGCGACTACTACAAAACAATAATCTACACAAATATACCACTACCTTAATCCTTTTTATATGGTGTATGGATTCTTCTTTTTAAGTCCAACATTTCAACCTCCGACTAAGATTAAGTAAAACTACCAAAATATACAATATGAAATAAATAAAATATTTTAAAATAATTCATGATGGATCGAATGATACTAATTTGACAATTAATACATCTTATAAACATTAAATAAATTAAAGAATTTACATGACAGAAAAGTTTGACTTAAGAAAAACATGAATACACCTTATAAAAAATAATGGATGGAGTAGATAGTCAGGCCATGCATGCAAAGTAAATTAGGGCCAGTACTTTTGGTGCCTTCTAGAATACGCTGAAACAAGCTGCCCCTACCGAGCTTATTTTAGAAGCCCAACCAAAATTTTCTTTTTAGAAGCCTACTAGAAAATTTTGGTTGGGCTTTTAGAATAAGCTGGGTAGGGGGGTAGCTTATTATGTAAGCCCAAAAAAGCCAGCAAAAAATCTGTCCCTTATTTTCTTCATTTACATGGGAATTGAAGTAAATGAAATCCCGGCTACAACAGAACTATTATGATAATAATCAAACCTCAGCGCAATTGGGATTCTCACTACCCCAAGGACCTGATGTGCGCCTGTTGCCATAATAATCGATGTAAGTATATTCAAATGAAGCAATTATTCCTTTATAAAGGATGGTGATACTTTCTATCCTTGAGGGTTTCTCTGAATCAACAGGGGAACCTCCATTGCCACCCCAAGGGCCACTCTTTACAAGAGTGGGTATCTGCATGCATTTGTACGGATAAATAACGACACAAAAAGGATCGGTCAATAAACATGAAAATAATCAATTGAAACACAAAAATGAGAATATGCTTCCATTCTAACCTGCATGTGGCAGAACCCATGGATGGTAAGCTCGATTATGTCTCCACCATTTTTTTTCTCATGTAGTTTTTTCTCTATGACACCACGTGCCATCGCAAGGTCAGCCGTCCCACCAACAATAGACCACTGACCTTCATGAACAGATGTTCCCATTACCTGAAGTGTGCTTTCCTTAAACCTGTGTCAAAAAAAAAAGTTAGCAGACTTAAGTACCCTCAAAATCTGATACGGACTTAAGTATCCTCACGATCTGATAGCATCAGAAGCTAGCTGGCTGCCACCTAAATGCATTGGAAGTGATGTTATATAGTTGATCTATCAGCCCTTTTCACTAGTCTCATATAATCTTAATAAAAAGTTAAATCTTAGTCGTTAACTCGACCACATTCCTTACATAAAACTGCTACTAGCAACTTAACTCGATCGACCACAACATTCCTATACACATGATGAAAGATGAACATTTTTTTGATGTACCCATGCATACCTTTCAGTCTCGAACACAATAGTGAAGGAATTGTGCCAACTACCAGCGTTGATATGCAGCCCTTGTGCGCGGGCCAGTAGCTTTGCGTCATGGCCAACCCCATCATATATGGGCCAGTTGTTAACTACTGTCGATCCCCACCCAGTGGTAGCATCTTTACTTACGATGCCTGCTTGGGTTGGATTTGGTCCAGAAAAAATGTGGTGTAAATACAAGCTACGGAAGTTGAACTCGGTGTTCTCCACGGCCCCATCGAATGAGGCCGCATGGAAATTGGGGGGATTGGCCATGTCTAAATTGGATCGAGAACAGCCAACAGTCCTGAACTTGTGTCCTGTGGAAGGAGGAGGCTGCAGAGGATGAGTATTTATAGCTCATGGACCAGTCGAGAAGATTGATGCATGCACGCCGAACATCTCCCTTGTTTTTCTTGTTTACTCCAAATAATTTGTGCCGTCTTGCGTTATTATGATAAGATGCTTGCCACCTACCAGAAATCACTCGTGCACAGTAATGTGA